TAGATCAAGACATGTTCATTACAGATCAAACAATGTACATATTTGACACATTTGATTCAACATGGAACCAAATTCTTTCTATAAGAATCACAACCAAAGAAAATACTAACCTTAGAATTAGCGTAGTAATTGGTATAATCTCCCATAATAACCTGAAAACCTGAAAACTGTATAAATAGAAGAAGTGTAAAGAGTCTGTGAAAGACATGCTTTGATCAAATAAATAACAAAAGTTCTTACCTAGCTCTCATCCCAGTTACATAAAAACCCCTCTTTGACCGATTAAAATAGTAGCACGCAACAGTACATGTACTATGCAATAAAATTTCAGGGACCTACACATGATCAATCATAAATTATCGGTGCGGGGATACTTTTGTCGGGCACTGTAGACAATTTGGGTGAGAGAAGCGAGTACTTGTCAGAAATCAACAGTTTGATTGGTAAATATTATTATAAATATCAAATATTAAAATACACGTCTATAGAATGAATAGTTAAATACTCGAATTATAATTTTATTTGAAGTTTCGTATTAAAAAAAAGCATAATTTCTTTATTATAGATAATATAAATGTACAGTATATTAGTTTTCTCTTGATATCTGGTTTTGCATTAAATTATAAATTCAAGGTTATTGTGGATTAGGCTTAAAAACTAGAGAAGAAGCATAGCTATCATTATTAGTAAATTGGTTTTGAACATAATTCGGAACCTGCGAATTCATAAAATATTGGATATTTTGATTATTAATCTCGGCCAAGTTGCTATGTATTGCAGGATTAAATTGAGTAGGAAATCCAGTATTAGTAGTCATCTTTGTGGCTCTTCTTCGCTTACGTAATAAAAATACTATAAAACCTGCAAGCAAAACTATGACAATTGAGCTGACTATGGAAATAATTATTATTGTTTTTTTCTGATCATTATTGTCAGATGATGATAGTGTAGGACTTGATGTGGCAGTAGATAATGTTGCAGAACTTGAGCTTTGTGATGATGGGCTTGGAGTTGCGACAAATTTATCAACCCATACATTATCGTTTAAATCCAAGACCATGATAACTTTTCTAATAGGATTTCTAGCCCAAAAACCTCCTTAAATTTTTAAAAGTAATTGTTTATTATTTAGTTTTTATTTATATGTAATTTAATAAAATACTTACCTAGACATACAACCATAAAATTATTATAAATGACAGTCGTAGGAAACAGCGACACATCATCAATGCTAGGCTTGTTTTTAGTTACAAGCTCAGAAAATTCAAATGTTTGCAAATTCAAAGTGACCAAATAATCACGCGGAATGCCTGACTCATTCGATAGTGATCCACCATATAAAATTATGCTTTGATTATCGGACGCTATTATTTATAATAGTTATTCATTTAAGCTTAAGTGATGATTTAAACATTTGTTTTGCTAAATACTTTCTTACCTAGAACGGCTGAGTGAAGATAACGGTTATTTATATATGAATTATTTGTCGCTTTCTTGTAATTTAATAGTAAATTAGTACTCAAAAAATTACAAATATAGTTTAGTCACAAAATTCACTTACTCTTATAGTCCATGGATCATTTGTATCGAGAGTATCATATATCAAAACCTTTAAAAGAATGATTTTCAATATTGCATTTATTTTTATGAACAAAATTAAATACATGTAGTTATTAATACCTCGTGAATATCAACACATATAGGATATTTGAGGTTTGCAACAATGCCACCAATGTAATAAATTTTGTCATCCTTAAAATTCACTGAATAAAAAGCTCTTTGCGCAGGAACGTTAAAAGGAAGAATTTGGTTCCATGTTGAATCAAATGTGTCAAATATGTACATTGTTTGATCTGTAATGAACATGTCTTGATCTA